CAGAGAAGACAGAGAAAACCGGGTAAAAGTGGAAGCCGCTCTTCAGCGAGCGATCCGAGGGCAGCCGGGACAGAAAGAGCCCCTGGATGAAAAGATGCCGCCCGAAAAGGAAAAGTCGGGCAAATTGTTCCCCAAATCTGCCTTGTTTAAGGAGTGGGGGGAGAATCTGTCTGAGGAAGACCAGAAAGAGGCTCAGGGTCTCTTTGAGAAGTATGGATACAACGTTTTTCTCAGTGATCGCCTTCCCCTCGATCGAGCTCTTCCTGAAACAAGAGATCCACGGTATGACTTCCTGGTTGGTTTTGGCTTCTTTCCTACTAACAGACTCCTGTCAATCAATTTGTTGTTGACTGCATTCCACTCTCACGCTCAGTTGGAGGAGCGGAGCTAATGGAAAATCTTTCTCCCTCTACGAAGGTGCTTAAAAAAGAGCTACCCAAAAGACCTGCCGACTCTCGGGGTGGTGTTGATCTACCTGAACGAGGCCTTGTCCATCCTCAAAAGGGCCCTGCGCAGCATCATCGACCGCACGCCCAAGCACATCCTGAAGGAGATCATCATGGTGGACGACAGCAGCTCAAACGGTGGGTTTTGTCCAGACGGTCAAAGCCGGTGTCTGGGCACCTGAGCCACATTCGTGGCATTTCACAGAGGAGTGGGGGGGAGGGAAAAATGCAGCGCACCCTCACACAAGGTTTGCTCTCCATTGTTTGTGCGCGTATGTGTGTGTGGAGTCAATAGAGACATCCATCGGTGCTCATCAGGCTATTAAGTGACCACCACATCCGATGGTCAACGGGTGCTGCATCACTGTTTGTTTGACGTAGTAGAAGCCTCACCTCTGATTCACATCCCTGTCCAAACGCCCACAGCCAGAATAACCTGTTACAGTTGTTTTCTGTCTTAACGGTTCGGAATTTAATCATATTTTTCTTAAAGATGCTGCTTCAGATTGTTATGATCTGCGGGTATCGGTCGATGCGGGGGGTGTAAAACCAGTTTTGGATGGGCTTTTGGCTTTTTGACACCATCATGGTGACACCTGAACGCTCCCTAACTGGAAACGACCGCATTTATCCCTCCCCGGTAGATAAACCAACAGATTGGGCTTTCCTTTTCACGTGTCTCCATCTGTGTTATATTAGCTTCTATGTTGAATCAAGATAACCAGTGTCAGCTGTGCAGTGGAACTCAAGGATCAAGGATCTCTTTATTATCTCTGTGGAGAAATTTTCTTTTCAGCTTCTGGCTTTTTTTTTCTCCAACCCTTTATTGCACTTTAAATCGAATAAACTATGATAGCTTTAAAAAATTAGGATCACATTGGATTGCAGTTAGTTATTCAAAGAATCTATATTTATCTTTTTATCAATATCACTCAATTTCAGAAAAACAACTCTCGAATAATTCTTTACATTTAGTTCATTTTGTCGAGATCATTTGTCCCTTTTAACACAATGATGTTGCGTTTTTAGTTTAGCAATCTCCTGCCAGGTGATCTAAAAATAAGAATCAGTTTTCTCTGGAAATCTTTAAAGGCGTGAACGCAGCATGTTTGCTTTCTGTGAATTGGTGCTGCGTTTAAGGTAATTGCTCTGTGGTGTGGCTCGGCTTTAGATGTCAGACAGATGGCATCATGCTTGAGTTAAGCAATCTGGAGTCCGTGTGTTTGTCGATTGTGTTTACCCACCACCGAACATCTGTGGTGTGGCAGCGTCCCTCTGAAAACGGCCTGGGCTTTTCTGTCGTTTTCCTGTCGCCCCTTCCAACAAACCTCAGTTGTTCAGCATGTTTTTGACGTTGTCTGAGATGTAGCTCTGGTTTCCTAAAGGTTTACTGGACCTTTAGACTTTTCCCTGCTGATATGCTGACACGTGTGAAGATTAGTAGTTTAATTTGTTTATAATCATCATTTCTCACCGTAGAAAAAACAAACATGGCCCTTCTACTATCATTATGTCTTTCGTTCTCTGTGTCGACACCCTCACAGGCTCAAAGCTTTTGGCACTGACTTTTTTTTTTAGCTAAGCAGACGTTAGATGTCATTTCATAAGCTGTACTGTCACCGTACAGAGATAGGAGATTAGCATTCCTCAACCATGTATCAGTTTTTCTGACAACGCTCACAAAACCAGTTTTTCTAGCTCCGGGGTTTTGGGTGGTTCCGTTTTTCCTGCCAATGTTCGGTTTAGACAGTTTCAAACACTGTTTCTCCAAATGAGAGATCCAACTGTGTAGGTTCTTTCTCAGATTTTAATTTGTGGTGGTTGTACGCCGTATTTCTGGCTGGAATCATGGAAGCCTAATTTGTTAACACATTTTTTCCCCCTTTTTTTTTTTAAATATCGGGGACGTCTCATGACCCAAATCCCTCTCGGTTTCTTTAGCTGGAAATCTTTTCGGATTTGTCATGAAAACACATAAAAGAAAACAGAATTGATCAAAAGGGATCGTTCCAAACATCGTGAGATGGATTTTGGAATGCAAAGAGTTACGATTTAAAGCAATCGCGTTTGGCGAACAGCCTCTGAGTTATGGTGTGAGTGGCCTGGTTAAAAGACAGCATCCGAATGTCACGAATATAATGACAAAGCATCTGTTTTTCCCGTGACGTTCGGTTGGACAAAGCAGGTCTTGTTCGTTCAGAGGCCCCTGACCACCGCCTCTGTTTTGGGTCAACCGCTCCACTAAAGGTTGGGATCCGTGTCCTTCTAAATCGATGGTTTCCTTTCTGATGTCAGAGGACCTGCAGGGGGACCTGGACGCGTACGTGAAGTCCCTGGAAGAGCAGCACCCGCACGTCCGGATCGTGAGAGTGAGGCACAGCGAGCAGAAAGGCCTCTCCTACGCCCGGGCGTCCGGCTGGAGGGCGGCCACCGCCGACGTGGTGGCCATCCTGGACGCACACATCGAGGTCCACCACATGTGGTAGGAAAACGGCCTCAGATTCCTCCCGTTCCTCTGCAAACCGTTCACGAGAACTTCAGTTATACTTCAAATCAGGGGGGTCAAACTCCAGTCCTCGAGGGTCCCGCAGCTTTTAAACATTTTCCAGCCTCTGCACACCTGATTTGGATTAAATCGGATCTCCTCTGGTCATCGTGGGGCTTTGCTAATGGCATTTTGATGTGAATCGGGGCCAACTCTAAAAGCTGCCGGGCAGAGGACGGGAGTTTGACTCCTGCTTCCCTCCAACCTCCGAATTCAAGCAGAGTTGGACTTGAGTTGCTCTATAGTAACGCCGGCAGGATTAAGTCTCCTGTTTGGGAACACCCTGTTTTTAAAAGACGTGTCACTGCCCAGTAAGGCGCCGTCTGATCCCAGAACCACCGCAGGAGCCTGTGGCAGCAGGCTCCTCAAACCGGCAACCCCTCAGTCTGACTCATTTCACAACGCTTTTGTGTGGGTGGACAAATATGAAAACCAGTACAGAGGTTGTATAATGACTTGAAACCAGTTACGTCTCCTTACACATTGTTTGCAAAGGCTCCGCTATCGCTTCTCCAGAATCCTGTCAGTCCTGTTAGTCATATGGAATCGATTCCAAATAAAGAAAGAGAAATGTTCTTTCTGTTTCTTTAGGTTTGTTGTTGTGAAATGTGAGGTGTGAGCATGCCTCTGTATCCCCCTTCCGCAGGGCTGAACCTTTGCTGACGCAGATCAAAGCCGACCGAACAGTGGTGGTCTCGCCCGTCTTTGACCGGGTCAACTTCGACGATCTGAAGGTTATCCAGTACATCCCGGCCGCGCAAGCCTTCGACTGGGCGCTGTGGTGCATGTACGAGGGCTTCTCGCCCGACTACTACAAACTGAACGACAGCTCGCTGCCCGGAAAGTGAGTCGAAGGGAAACCGGGCAGGCTCGCTCTGACTGATGGAGCCCGGGAAACGTTTCCTCACTTTTTAACTGTCAGATCAACCAGATATTTCATCAACCTTAATGGTTTTATGATTGATTCAATCAGTCAATCATTCACGGTGATCTTCAAAGAAAACCACAAACCAAAAGCAGAACATTGGAGCCATAATAAAAAATGCTTTTTTGGAATTCACGATTATCTAAATTCGCTCTGCAAAGCACTGACAGTCGTCTTCCCTCTCCTCAGGAGTCCGTCCGTCATGGGGATCCTCGTCGCCGACAGGAAGTTTTTCGGAGAAATCGGTGTCCTTGATGAGGGAATGAAGGTGTACGGTGGGGAGAACGTGGAGCTGGGCATTCGTGTAAGTAGATATCAAAGTCAAATGGAAGTCTAGCTCTTGCCAGGATTGCCAGGCCCTTCACTAAAAGAACTGCACCCATACAGTGTCTCCTGCCATGAAAGCTTTGTCTGAAAAGCAGTGTGATGTGATGCCAGCTTTGTAAAATCATTATCCCTCTGAGCACGCCCCGGAGGCAACATGCTGCACCTTTTCAGAACCGCTATAGATGCGATGAACGCCCTCAAAGTCAAAGCAACAGGGACAAAAATGAGGGAACATTCATGTGTCGTTACGTACTATGTAGCCTTTAATGACCTGTGAGTGAAACACACACTTCCAGGGAAATCCACACACATTGCAGAGCGCAATAGTCAAATATGACAAACCGCTGAAAACTCCATTATGAAACTGAA